AAGATGTGAGAAGATGTGAGAAGATGTGAGAAGATGTGAAGATGTGAGAAGATGTGAGAAGATGTGAGAAGATGTGAGAAGATGTGAGAAGATGTGAGAAGATGTGAGAAGATGTGAGAAGATGTGAGAAGATGTGAGAAGATGTGAGAAGATGTGAGAAGATGTGAGAAGATGTGAGAAAATGTGAGAAGATGTGAGAAGATGTGAGAAGATGTGAGAAGATGTGAAGATGTGAAGATGAGAAGATGTGAGAAGATGTGAGAAGATGAGAAGATGTGAGAAGATGTGAGAAGATGTGAAGATGAGAAGATGTGAAGATGTGAAGATTTGAAGATGAGAAGATGCGAAGGTGAGAGGATGTGAAGATGAGAGGATGTGAAGATGAGAAGATGTGAAGATGAGAAGATGTGAAGATGAGAAGATGTGAAGATGAGAGGATGTGAAGATGAGAAGATGTTTTACAGACCCCCACTATTGGAAGAACCCTGCGCTCAGACGCTCTTGGGAACAAAAAAACGCGCCTTCAGCGCGCCGCCATAGCTCTTGATGGTCAAATACATACCGTTTTTTCTTCGCGCGCGTTGCGCGCTCAAACCGCTTAATTTCGAAAAATCTTGTCTTCCTAGATCGGTTTTTTGGCCTTTGTATTTTTTTCGGCGCCGCTTCGGGCTGCAAAGCCCTGCTTTTTGCCTCTGTTTTCTATCATGGCAAAAACGCTTCAACAAGCAAAATCTTCACACAAAATGTTGTTTTCGGTCATTTGCGCGCCCCCCGCGCCGACGTGGCCGAAAAATGCAAAAAAATGCACGGTAAAAATTTCGCGATAGTTTCCCCCTTCATTACGCCCCCGAAAGTGCCCCGAAAACGTCACTTTTGGAAATCCCGCTTTGGTCGGGCTTGCCGTGCCCTTTTTTGATCGCCCTGCCCCCCCCTGTTGGTTCCTGCTCCATCCCTGGGCTCCCACGCCTCTTCTGGGCAGCAGCTGTGCCGGCATCAGACCTGGGCCGTGGACATCAACAGGACAAAAAACAGCATGGGCATGCAAAGAAACAAACTACAACTAAACGCCAACTTAAAAACACATATAACATCATATAACATGCAGAAACATTGAGGGCCGGACACTACAGAAAACAGCTGCGGCAAACCTTGACCCAAAACGCTGCGGATAGACAACAACTTACTGACCGCGGATGTCGTGAAAAAGCAAACAAAAGCAAACAAGTGGAAAAATGATGCTATCACTGATCGACACAGTTTCTGGTTGAAAAGCACTGGGAGCACCATGGTTTGATTGTTTTGTTATACATTGTTTTACAACTTCACTGACGCATGTTGGTGCGCGACTGAAAAACGCATGTTTTGACTGCCGCTTCACAAAATTACGCGCCGTCCGTATTTTTGACCCGCGCCGCCCCCCCCAAAAATTCGTTCTTTGCCCCAACCTAGCCGAGCTTTTTCCGATCACAGCCATTTTCATTCACAATGCGTGCGTCACCGAACGCTTGTTGAGCACAATGATGCGACATCTCCGCAGCCAATCATATACGCCACCCAAGCAAGAGAAGCGAGGGAGAATCAAAGCCACCCCCTTGATAGGGGGATGGGGGGGTAGAAAACCCTAAACCCGTGAAAGGTAAAAGTTTGGGCAGTTTGGGGTGGGCCTACAAACGCCAAAGACGGCGCCTCCCCGCAACATGACTCGGGGGGAGGCAGCCGTGGTGCTATTGAAAACCCTAAACTAAAGCGCGCACCTGGTGCGCGCCTGTCCGGGCCAAGCCTTAGCCGGCAGCAAGCGGAGGAGGGCAAGGGGCCTCCATCTGCCCTCCGAGCCCAGTACAACCCTAGGTAGAGCCTCTCGCGATGGGTACTACTGTAAACAAAGAACCCTTAACCCTCGACCCAAGACTCGGAAAGTTCCCCACTTGGGGGGTTCCCCCGGGGAAGGTTCAAAACCTGATTTAGCTTGTACTTTGGGACAAATTGGCCCCCAAAAGCCTTGATTTAGCTTCGGCCTGAAGGAAATTTATTTCCACAAACCTGGATTGGTTGTGTTTTAGGCAAGATTAATCCCAACAGTCCTGCTGTCGCACCTTTCTGCGGTCGAGTTGCAAAGGTCTGCTCTCTTCCTTGCCTTGCCGCTGGTTCGCATTGCGATTGTGTGGTACGATGACATGCTGCTTGCTCTGAAATGGCTGCGTGATATGGATACACGGGTCTTCAGTTGCTTCCATCCGGCTCCTGCATCGATAACCAGACGCTTCATTTCAGCTTGCTACGGACGCTACGGACACCCGGGAGATGGAAACAATTGCTTTCGGAGACCGATGCTGTTCTTTCACCCTTGTCTTTTGCATATGAGTGCAACATCCCTCCATTGCATTCAACATGTCTGCAGTTCAGTCTCAGTTGTCGCATGCAGTTTCTTTTTCTAATGCTTGGAAGAAAACACTCACAACCGCACTATTCCTATCCATCTACCTGTGTTGCCTTCGGCCTCTTGCTTACTGTACCAGCGCTGCCGCATGCACATCTTTTTTCTGTCCTCTAAGGTCCGTTAGCACTCTTCAGCAGGGCGAGCCTATACACGCCTACGCAGGAGCTACACTGTCCTTTCCTTTGCAGCTCCTGGTCAACCTGGTGCCGTTGCCCTTTACAGCACTTTGCAGCAGCAACTGTACACGGCTTGCCACTGCATGCTGCCACAAATAGTTTGCATGCTTTCTGTTGCGGCTCCGGTACCTGATCGGCTTCTTCACCGCATAGTTACGGGAACGAAGTGTTCCCGTGTGAGCTGCCCCCCAATTAGGTACGGCTTTCCGTCCTTCACTCTGCTCAGAGCCGTATATCCAACCGCTGGCATGTTGGCCGCATCCAAGTAGATGATAATGAAGGGGAACTCGTCGCCTTGCACCTTATGGATGGTCGTGCAGTACCCGAGCCGGATGGGAAAGAACCGCAAGCCCGGATGATCCGGGTCGCTCCACTGTGTGATGGGAAGCCGTTTGCCGGTCTGGGTGCGGACCCAGAGGGCGCCAGCAGCTTCCTCGTACGACAAGACCTCGCACAGCATCCCGTTGATGAAGTCATCGGCTTTCCTCACGTTGCGGGTCAAGTAGTCAAGTAGATCTTCATCCCCCGGTGGATCGGCACTTCACTGGGTTGTGGACGGCGATCTTCCCGCAGCTTGCCATTGTAGTAGTTGTCTGGGTTTTCCTCGATGGCGCCAGGCAGCACTGCCAATGGCTGTGCCCTAGGGTGCAGGGCTTCCAAGGCCAGTCGATTCACCTGTGCCACGCCAGCCCGAGTTGCGGCCACCATGACGGCCTCCGGGTGTGTGCGCAGCAAGCGGCCAATGTCCTTTGTATCGGGCTCGTCCCCCTTCCAGGATTCCAGGCCTTATGGTTCCGGCAAATCTGGTTCAGCTGTAGCTTTGTTGGCATGGCGGTACGGAGGCTGTCCAGCATGTTCAGAAAGCTTTCATCTTGCGTTCGATATACAAAGGTCAACTCCACAAATTGTACCGTCGCCGGCTTCCACGCCGGGCTGTCCCATGGCCGCAGCGGATCCGCGCCGGGGAGTTGGTACTTGTCCCCCAAGAAGACCAATGCAGGGGATTGATCTGCCGCATGCCACTGCCGCAGAATGCGTTCAAAGTTTGCTTGGCTCGGCTGGGAAAATTCATCGACGACCACCAAAGAGTACCCATGCATTGATTGCATACAAAGTCTCCTGCTCCGGTTTGTGAAACTGGAACGCGGCTGCGGCCGTGTCCACGACCAGCTGGGCTTGCGACTCAAACTTTTCGGCCGTGCGGTTGGAGAGGCGTGCCGTGGGCAGGGCAAGCAACACAGAGCCACCGGCCTCCAGGGTTGCACGCACATTGCGATGCAACACCGTGCTCTTGCCCGTGCCTGGCCGTCCAGAGCACACAATCGGCCGATGAGCTGCTTCTGCCACCTTGGCCCGTCGGGTGTCCCACTCTTCATCTGAAGCGGCCGCTTGTAGTTCCATCCCTCGCTGTACTCGTTGAGCAACTTGTCGAAATAGGACCGCCTGCTTGCCCTCCAACTCAAAGTCTTCCTGCTGATTTCCTGCTTGGTGCCGGTTCTTGGGTGCTGGGGCCGGCTCTTCCCGACGGTCCAATTGGCCAGATAAATACCGATCAATGGCCGCGATCTGGGTGCCCACAAAGCCGACAACGTCTTCGATGAATGCAGCCGTATCAGCCTCTTGCTCCATGTCAGCTCGGATGCGCGCCGGGTCACGCCAGTACCCTCGCACCGGTGGAGGCAGCCTGGCATCTGTGGCCAGCCAGCGGTACCGGAACGGCACCTTGTCTTGTACTGCGGCAACTTGAAAGCCATCCAAGGAGCGAAACGGTAAGTGCATGAGACACCACTGCCCGTAGTAGCCATCGTTGAGGCGCCATAAGTAGTCGGCGGCAACAATTTGCTCTTCCTGCATGGTATACGCGTTTGCGAAGGTCTCCAGCGGCACCCCTGCTGCCTGTCCGGCCGCATCCTTCTCCCACCTCTGGCGCAGCCACCGGGCGATCCCTCCTGTGGCAGCATCTGACTTCCGCAGGTACTCGAGCAAGGCCATCTCCTCGCGCTGCCACTCGCTGCGCATGTACTGGTGGACGAAGCCCGGCTGCTCCTGGTTGCTGGGGCGTGGGACCCGGACGGAGCGACGCCCGCCCATCACCGTTCCGAAGTCCCATTGTCGGAACGTGGCTCCTGTCAACTGCAAGGTCATCTCCGGCTCCATGGGGTGGTATTCAACTAGAACTTTGCGGCAGAGGCTCGTGACGCTTGCAGAATCAGACATCCATTCACTGTAGGATGAGTCACTCCACTTTGCGACGTACTTCGTCACGTACTTGAGGAGCAGGTAGCGTCCATGAGCGATCTGCAGGTCCTGGTGGCACCGCAACGCATCCATGACGGGAATGAAGCAACCACGGACGCCTCCCTCTGCATCTTCCTCTGTGTGGTGCAGTTGCAAGCGGCCCTCATCCGCCACATATTCAGACGCCCCAGGATGGACTGGCCACTTGCTTTCACCGCTTCTGTCCAGCTGCGATCCTCGGGCAAATGCCGCCACCACGTCCATGCCGGGGCCAAGCTGCAAGCTGGCCGCCGCAGAAGCCTCCAACTTGGTACTTGCCATGTCACGCAGCCAAAACAAGGCGTGCACATGCGGCCTCCCGCTCCCATGGTACCTCTGGGTCCCCTCCTTCTTCGATCCGTCCTGGTACTCGACCCGGGTGAAGAAGCCCACGCAGTTGTTGACTTGCTCTTGGATGGCTGGATCGTGGTTGCTGAGCAGATGCCGTTTCCATCCTTTTGCTCCTTGTTGTGTGCCACCTCCAGCAAGCAAATTCCGGCAGGTCTGCAACATTACATGTGCTATGCTCATGGCTTCAAATGCCGGCAGATGCGTTCTGGTCACCAGGAGCTTCTGCATCTCGTCCAGCAGGAACTGATGGTATGGAAAGCTGGGCTCCCACGGTGCCAGCGTCCAATACAGCTGAGGGTACCCTAGCTGCTTGACGAGGTCGAAGAGGCCCAGCTTGATGTCGTGCCAGTAGTATGGCGACATCGGATGCCCTTGCATCATCAGCCGCATTGCCATGCCATCTGCCTGGTTGCGTTTGCTACCCAGATCAGTCCAGAGATGCAGGTCGTACACATATTGCAGCAAGGTGAAGTCGGAGCCATAACCCAACAAAGGGCTGAGGAGCTTGGCCTGGAAGGAGCGTTTGATGCTCCGACGGGGCTCTTTTGCAACTTCCTCTTCGGCACTGGACGCAGCGCTGTCCTCACCCTCTTCACTGCTGCTGTTGTCCTCCGGCTCAGCGGCTTCTGTGGCGGCGGCGTCTTCTTCATCCTCTTGCTGGCCTCTCCACTGCTTCTTGGCTTCCAGCTGCTGTAGCCGTCGTCGATTGAGACGCTCGAACGACTCACACATGGAGGTTTTCCAGTACAGATGCGGCCAGAGAGCCGTCTCAAGCCCGGGCTCCTCAATGAAGTGCAGTGGCCGCTTGGCTTCTGCGGCTGTGGGTTCGTCTCGGTGCCGAACAATGAAAGAATTGTGCCGCTCGTAGTAGTCGTGGTATTCATTGTCGACTGGGTTCTCCAGGAGGTAGCGTCGTGCTGCCCTTGCCTTTCTGCGCACATCCCTCGCGCCGAGCGCCGCGATCTTGCTGTCCACAGACTGCAATGCCCAAGAAAAGGTAATCATGCGCACCTTCTTTCTGTAGCATCCGTTCCCTGCACGGACCTCCTCACCCACGTCAATATCCAAAGGGCGCAAAGCCTCCACAATCTCAGGGGACAAGCCTTGCAAGGGCTCGGGCACGTCTGCGGGCTGCGGCACGATGTGCGGTCGCTTAGCCTTGCAGCGGCGACAGGCGGATGCCATGATTTCTGGCTGCGCTGCCTTGGTGATGTCCGCACGTCGTTGCTCCGCATGTACCTCAGCACGATACTTCTTGCGGGCCGGTGCGGCTGCCTCTTCTGTGACTGCCCTGCGGCGCTTCTTGCATGCATCCCACGCATCCTTGGTGGCTGCAGCTCGCCGCTCTCTCAAGTCGGCGCGGCTCGCTCTGGGTTTCTCCCTCTTTGCTTGCGAAGCTTTCTTGGTCAATGCTTCTGCTTCTTCCGGAACCCATTCCTCCAGCCTCTCTTTGACGGCCGTCCATACGTGCCCATGCTCATCCTTCCTGCTGTAGAATACCTTGAAGCTTCGCGTCACGTTTCCTCTTCCACGGGGGGTCTCCAATGCTGCCCGTAGGGATGCTGCGCTGCAAAAGCTGCATACGGCGCCCGGTTTGCCTTGGCTTGCACTGCCGGGCGTTTTGGTGCTGAAGACGCAATGTTTGCCCTCGCAGCCGGGGCAGAAGTTCGTCGTTCCTCGGTTTCCCGCTGGCTTCATCCTGGGGTGCCCTGCAGGTTTCTTCGTCGGTGCGACCGGGCTCGGGGGTGTGCGCCACCGCGCCCCCGCATTAGGCGCTCCGGTCTGGTCCCCTTCGGCACGCTCCGCCTCCGCATCTGCACGCGCGAAGATTCTTTCCTCCGCCATACACATCAGAACCCAGGGCAGGAAAGGCATCTGTTCCCAGCCTCCCCTGGGAGCCTGTTTCCCACGAAGGCGAGGCAATCCGGTGCCCGTGAGCCTGGGGCCATCCGCCGAACCTCGGTTGGCTGCTGCCAGCCGCGCATCCTCTTCCGCAAGCACCTGCTCGAACACCGCTGCGTCTGCCATGGCGCGGGTTGGGTCGCCCCAAGCACCTCTGAAGTTCGTATCACGAGCTGTCCGTGCCGTGTGCAGGGGTGTGTGTCACAGATGTCGTGGTGTGCGGGTTTGATCCGTGTTTTTGGTCGTCACTGTTCGACATCAAGCTGTCGCTGCAGTTTGATCAACCGGCTGCGGTCATGTACAAGGATTACTTGCAGCCATGCACACCATGCAGCTGCGACGCGCTGGCTCACCACTTGTACGAGCTCATGCACTTGCAGTGCATTTCCAACAACAGATGCTGTTCTTTGGCAAGGAAACCAGACTTCTTCTACTGCTATGCTTGGTTGTGTCGCTCACTCCTTTTTTCACCCGCTCGGACAGATCCACACCAAACCTAACGGTAAGCCCCTCACCGCGCCAGGCGTCCGCGGCAGGCATCTTGTTGCACTTGTTCTCCAGCGCCGATTGCATCACCACAAGCTGCCCGCGCTGGTGCCGCTGCCAGGCCATCTCGAACATTGGTGTCCTTACCTTAGAAGTCAACCCAATGGTGCCGTGTGTCATTACGCCTGCTGCTTCTCTTATGTTTTCATGTCTGTCTGTATGTATGCATGTATGCCTGTATGTATGTATGTACGTACGTATGTATGTATGCATGTATATATATATTTTATGTGTCATCAATGATCATGTCCATCCAACCTCGTAACAGATGTGGCTGTTCGTCTGACAACATCATCTGAATCTGAACAATTGCTCATGATGAACCCAGACGCTGGAAGACTCGGCTCTTGTTCTCTCTGGCGCCTCCCACTCGGCCTGTAGGTCTGCAAGGAACACCGGAACAAAACGGCTTCGAGAGAGAGGGTTCCCAGACTGGTTTACATATCAGACCAAAGCGTGTATTTGAAATATGGTGGTTATATTGCTATGTATGTTCCAGGCAACAAAACCATCTTACAAAGCAACCTGACAACCAACCGCGCCTCCTCGGTGACCAAGCTTCCAGATCCAAGGGCATGCAACGATGTTGCAGGGTCCTGCAGGCATGGCATGGCAACATGTGGCGACACCGAAAAAAGCGAAAGAAAAGAACTATGAACGAAACATAAGTCTGCAAAACTTTGCGCTTGCGAGACGTGTAGAAACTGTCTCGGACCCTCCTCGGCCCGCGTCAGCGTTAGAAGCTGCGTGATGCGGCCGGGCTTGTAGCCCTCTTCTTTCAGCCGCGCCCGTATCTCTGCCTCGGTCCTGCCTTCACGGCGGGGGTGCCGCACTTTGTCTTGTGCAGGCTTCCGAGCCATGTTGCTGTACTGGGCACGGCCCTACAAGCCGACGGCACCTATCTTAAGCCACACTCAACTGCGTGCGCACGAAAAAAACTGGCAGGGATTGCTGCGATATGTACTGGCGGAAAAAAACAACCTTTGAGTTACTTCTGAGCGTGTGTTTTCTGATTGGTTGGCTACGTGGTGTCGGTTGGCATCGGTGCTGCGACACTTTTTCCCGTGCTGCCTGCCATCTTCACCCAGAGGGCACAGGGTCTGTACCGACCGATCCTTGTCGTTACCTGCGCACCTCTTTTGCAACCCGACAAGATGCCAGCTACGCACTCCACATTGCGTTGACCAGAAACATAGTTTGAGTCCCTACGGGCCAAAAGTTGAAGACGTCATGTCCTATATATCTATATATCTATATATATATAATTATATATATATAGCTATACGAAAACAAAATAACACACCTCTGTCGTGACATATCGGTTTCTTTCACGGACGCGTTGTGGGTTCGGAGGTCCAAATCTGTACTCACGAGACTCTCCCCACTGGCCGTTGCCATGCTGCTCACTCGGCCGCTCCCGACCGCGGCTGTGTGGCGCGGGCCGACTGTCCTTGTTCGGCCCTGCGTTCCGGATAGGTCTTGTGCTCCTCACTCGTCGACGCTCTCGTCGACGTGGGCCTTGAAGATCTGCCAAGCCAGCGTGTAAGCCATGGAGCAGTACGTCTTCCAGCCTGCCGGCTTCTGCTTCTGAAACTTCGTGTCCTCCGGTAGGCCCCAGGCTTCGCGCAACGGCGAGGGAATTTGTTGCAGCAACTGGAGGATCTCTTCTTTCTTCGGCTCCTTCTTGGCGTACTTCGTTCCGAAGTCCAGAGCCAAATTGTAGTTCTCCACCGCGGCCTCCAGCGCCCAGCCTTGCTTCAAAAGCATGCCGCGGGCTCGGCGGCAGTCTGCGGAGTCGCCCTTGAGCGCTGCGTTCCAGGCTGTCTGCTCTTCCTCTGGGAACGCGGTCAGCCGGATCTTCTTGAAGAAGGCCTCCTCCGAGATGAGTGTGATGTTCTTCTGCTTCTGCTGGTCCTCCTGGATGGCGGCTTGAACCCAAGCCAGCCGCACCTCCTTGACCATCTCCACTGTGTGTTTCAGGAGGCGCTCGGCGTTGGCTTGCAACACCGCGTCCTCTTGCGTGGTTGGAAGCATGCCTGCGCGCTGCCACACCAGCTTCTGAATTTCGGCCGGAAGCTCCTTGGCCAGGGCCAGCCTCTGCTCGACCTCGAGGCCAGCAGCGCCAGCTGCGGTCGCCTGCTGCGCTGCCTTCTCTTCGAAGGCTTGGAGTTCCGACAGCGGCCACAGCTTCGACAGGCTCCCGCCTGTGGCAGCGACGGCTCCTGCGTCGGTGTCCTGGTCGGAGCCCGACGACTGTTCTTTCTCCTTTTTCTGTTTCTTGGCGGCCTTGGAACCGCTGCCGGCGGCGCTGTGCTTGCGCTTCTTCTTCCCGGCGGGCTCACTCTCCTGGGAGTTTGGCTCGGAAGCCGCTGCCGTGCTGGACACCTCGGGCTCGGACGCTTCGGCTTTCTGCTTGGCCGCCTTGTTCTTCTTCTGGTCCTTGCTTTTCTTGCTCTTCCTAGCTTTGCCCTTCTTGCTGGATTTGCATAGTGCCGCAGTGTCCTGCGAGCTGCTGTCCGGCGGAGTGCTTCCGACCACCGGCGACGACGAAGAGTCCTGTGCGGCCATGGCTTCCATGTCGCCAAAGCGGCGACGCCGCGTGTCGTCCTTCAGGTCGTCCTTCACGTTGCGCGCAATGGCCGCCAGGAACTTCTCCTCGGAAGCCGGGTCTTGCAACCAAGCTTGCAGGTGCTTCGATTGCTTCTTCCGTTCGGGCACGGACTTTGCCCAGGAACGCAGGTCACTGCCTACGGCCGCGGTCTCCAGCAGGCTGATCAGCCCGAGGTACACTCCTGCCGCCGCCTTTGCAGCGGACGCCAGGGTTACACTGGTCTGGACAAGGTGCACCCGACGTGGGCGGGAACCTATATTTTGGATGCGTGTGTTTTCCTTTTCCCAGACATCAACTTTGCTCTCATCGATAGTGACTGCGTGCCAGTCACGCTTTTCGAAATTCAAGAGCTGTGGCTGTCATGTGCTGAGCCTGACTCCACTGAAGATGAAAGCCGACAGCCGGCAGCAATTCCGAGCAGCCCAATTGCTCCTGCACAGAAGAGAGCAAGATCAGTTGACACGGGACAAGCCACGCAACAGCAACCGGGCCCCCCTATCAAGCTGCCCAAGTCGCGAAGCGTAGAGAACCTGATGGCTAGTGCTGGCAGGTCGCCAACTCCTGCCCAGACAGGAAATTTCGAGGATGAGGTTGACTTCGGGGGATCCGAGCCATCGAGCCCACACTCAACTGAGAGTGAAGAAGAAAAGAGCCGAAACTCCACGCCAACGGCTCAGTCGTGCCAGGGATCGACTGACAAGCGAGCTACCGCTGAAATATCAAAACCGGTGGTCACCAAAGGCATCATCCTGGTCAGTGAAGCCTTTACGGAAATCAATGCTGGACTGGTCATTGTGTTGGCATCTCGACATCGCAGCCCAATTCCAGAGGCTGAACTTATTGACCCTGATCGTGACCCTGACGAGCTTGCCACTATTGCCAGCACTGTCTACCGTGGTCATGTTGAAAGTTACCTATCGACCACCCAACCGCCTGGTGATACTGAAACTGCTGTCTCTAGTGGATTGCTAGGATCGCCGCTTCTAGGCACTGCCACTCGATGTGCAGCTGATTGGTGTCACGCTTGGAGCATATTGGGACAATGGTCAGGCTTGGTCACGTTTCCAGTGCCTGCAACGGGGCAGTGGCCTCGGCATGGGCACTTGCGAGGAATCCTTGATGGCTTCCAAGGCAGACAGCCCAATTTTCATAAGTGGGCCCGCCCTGCCTATGAGCAAGGAGCCCTGCCAACACTCAGTCTCCTCCCAGGTGAAGTTGCGATTAAAGTGCTACCAGGAGACAAGATATATCAGGCTATGGAGATTGAACCGGGCTTCATCAGGCCTGTCATATTGCATGGCTTTGGAACCAGGGCCAAACAACGGCTACCATCGCGACTTGAGGACTTGGCGCAGTTTGGCTGGTTGCCATTAGCAGCAGCCCTTTTTGGGACAGCAGAGTGGCAGCCACAATGGCTCCACCACAACTTTCTTCCGGTCATAGGCCTGCGTGTCCATGCAAAGCTTCCTCCGTCTCCGTTGTCGTATCAGCAGCTAGTGGCGTTACTAGGGTTGTGGGAACGAAGACCTGCCCTGGGAACTCCTTGCCGGGCTCTTGCCCAAGCTGCTGTGCTTGCATTTGGTCTCCCAACAGCGTTTCGCGCACCAGAGGAGTGGACAGCATCAGTGAAAGGAGAAGTATTCGATCTTGTGCAGTGTTCCCAGCGGATCTATACGGGTGAGGCAGCCAACACGTCGCAAGCTCCGCATCCTCTGGTTGACCGACCGAAGAGATGGGCACAGTGGGTGTTCTCGATGAATAGCCTGTGGCAAGAGGACTCTCCGATGCCAGATCGACCTCTCACAGTACACTGCAGTGGACTGGGAGGCGGACTGCTAAGCCCTGATCATGATTACGACCTGTTCTTCCAGAATCATGCGCAAATGAAAGTGTATGGCCCTTCACTGGCAATGGCAGATGATTGGGAGCAGCGTATCACCCAACTTGGGTTGACCAAAACAACGCATGA